AAGAATAGGGGAATCTTTCCCTAAGGTCACAAGAAGTCAGTTGAGAATTGAACTTTTTAGACCCTCTAAGATTTACACACGTTAGCTAAAGGTGGGTTCACTTAAGGATTGTTGACGTCTCTGAGGATGAAAGAATATTACGGAATGCAGTAAAGTCAAGTCCTATTTTATAAAATTACCTAATAGATGATGGGAAAATGTTGCTCAAGTCGAAACTTCGTAATAACTTGGAACCTATGCGTATATACGATTTACTCTACTTCAAATTATTTAGCTAAGTGTCTTCATATACACACATTCTGGTTTCTTTAGTAGTATGAAAAACACTCCGTATATCCGACAGCTTCAGTCAAGGTGATAAAGAACCATAACAACCTACGACTTACGCAGAGTTATTTCTATTCCTTCCTTTACGGTTTTTTCCATCATTACTACAGTATTTTCGTATTGATTTTATAATTGAACTTCCTCCACGGGTGTACATTATATGTATGAAGGAAATTATACTCGTATCATCAATTTTACTTTACTTTTCCGCGAACAGCAGCCATTACCGCAAAATGTCAATTTACCAATTTCCGTCATGTTTTCATATGATTGTCATTAGTTTGCCTTCGCTCATGTGCATACATGCGTATTCGTACATATGTGCTTAGTAACTTTTTACATTAGGGTGCATTCGTTCTACGATTCTCAGTTTCAATCTCAGCGTATCATAAAAAATACTTTAAAAGTGGAACAAAAAATTTCACTTAACCATTTTATGGAAGCAATTTATAGAGCGATGACCAACTTACTTGTATACCGGTGTCAGAGCGCCTCAGCAATAGCGTTTTTTTTTATAACATTGTTGCCTGAACAGAAAAAATTTTCAGTTTTGGATAATTAAATTAAATCGGTGTTCATTTATTACAATTAAAAAATATTATGGTATATATTGAGCGCTCAATGATTTTATGGTAATAATAATAAAGAAAGAATAAACTCGTTAACTGTCAATTAATAAATGCTTTTATACCATAAACCGGGCACAATAAGTATTCCACGAAATTTTAACACACAGAAGTAACAGTCGGAGACCCTATAAAGTACATGTATACATGAATGATCAGCAATCAATTTAGTTACGTCCGTCTGTCCGTCAGGCCTGTATATACGCGAACCAGTTTCTCAGCTTTGAGATATCGATCTGAAATTTTCCATACAACCTTTTCTTCCCAAGACACATTTGCCAAAACTGCCGATATCGCTGCTATACAAACGGATCGATCAAAATAAAGTTCTAGTATGGAAACTTCTTTTATTTGACATAGATTATTGATGCAATATTTTGTAAAGGATTGTCGACAAAAAGAAAAGTTTTCCATACAACGACATGATTTGGAAAGTTTACATTTTATGGAAGATGTATGTTACAATATATCGGCGGTTCCATCAAATGAGTAGCTTCTTGAGGAGAAAAGGACGCGTGCAAAATTTCAGATCGATATTTCCAAAAATGAGGGGCTAGTTCTCGAATATATAGACAGAGAGACGAACGGCCTTAGGTAAATGGACTCAGTACGTCTGCTGTTCATTTATTAATAGTATATTATTCATTTGTATTGAAGTATATATGTAGGGCCTTCGACGTTTCAGCGCGATTACGCTCTCAATTTTAAGTGTCAGGAGAGTTGTTCCACAAAATGGCTGTTAAAAATTGTCAAATAAATTATTAAACATCATATTAAGTCTACCAACCCTAATATTTTTACCTATGAGACCTATACTTGTATGTATTATGAAGCTGTTTTTTAGAACCGTTTGAACAATCAAGGGAAATTGTTGCAACATTTCGAGTTTTTTAGGGTCTCGCTTTTCGGGTGAGGGACTTTTAAATGTCCATTGTCGATGTCTTCCATGACTCTCGTAAAACTTTTGAATCTATGGCAAATGAAGAACATTTATTGTTTGACGAATCTGAATGTTTTACAATCAAATGTCTATCTTATTAACATATATTATTGGGCATAGATTAAATTAGTTTTATAACTATATCTTTCTTCCTTTCAACGAAAATTTGATTAAAGTCATCTTCAAATAATAAGATATAACTGGCATAAACTCAACCGAAAAGGCTAAATTTAATATAATGAGTTGATGTAAAAATGTCAACCAGAGGATAGGAATTAGTTATATTAAGGATATGAGGATTGGACCAAGGTCTAGACCAATTATATTCATATTCAGCGCCAAATCACATAATTTTTAACAAAACTTGTCCACCTAATTTCACTAAAATATCACACATTTTGACCAACCTAAACGGTTTAAAGACATGTGGGAAGTCGGAAATCATTATATACTTGTAGGGCAAATTGGAGGCCGTAAAGATCTGAGCTGGTTTCACTAAGTTTTGACATTGCTCAAGTATATTCAAAAACATATTTTCAAGTAATTTCATAAATATATAACTCATACACTGGCCGACATATTCAGCATAGGCTTTGTTAGAATAACGAAAATCATTATATGTAGTATATGGGGGTTTGAGTAATTCGATGTCCAATATCACATAATTGACCGATATGTACGGTATAAAAACAACCGGAAATTTGAAAATCTTATATTGAGTATAGGAGAGATAGGGTTATTATTAAACAGCTTTTATCTAATTTTGCCATTGCCACTTATTATTAGCAGGAAATATCTGAGTTTCATTAAGGTACCTCACATACCATCACCAATATTATGTTTGATAATGTCAACTGCTGGTTTTAACTCCTGATATTAGTAATATGGCAGCTAGGTCAAGTTTTCATCCGATTTTATCCATTTTGTACTCAAAGATAGAATGTTTTTAGAAAAATACGCTCATTCAATTTCAATAAGATAACTCCCATATTGACCGTATAAAGTCAGCCAGAAATTCTAAAATTTTTCTATTAGGTATATGGTGACTACGCGAATTATTGATCTGATTCATATCAATCAGAGAAGGATTCTCTCTGAGTTTCTATAATATATCTCACGGATTGACCGCTATTTTCGATAAAAAGTGCGCAATAGGAACTGCTGTCCATATATTCTTCACTTCAAATGTAGTATTTGTGCAAAGTTTTATCCGGATACATTGATTGGTTCTTGATTTGTGTACTAGAAAGTGAAAGAATCATATGGAATTTAAAGTTGTGTTATATAGAGAGTAGGCGTGGTTGTAGTTCGACTTGGCCAGTTTTCGCACTGCGATATGGGAATTTTAAAGTAATACTACCTACTGAATTTGGTTGAAATCGATGGGCACGTCCCGAGATATGGGTTTTCACCTAAATGTAAGTGGTGCCATGCCTATCGTCCTTATTTGACATTGACTCCTATGTGACCTTCTCATACTATCTCGGGTGTACAATTTATGTCTCTGAAGCATTTAGTTATTAATTTATAATCGTTATATGGGAGAGGGCGGGGTTATAATCCGATTTACGTAGAGGTATGTTTTACAGTTTTACATCTTAGTTATGTGCTTAGTTATGGCATTTTATAAGTTTTCATTTAATTGCGTTTTGTGGGCGTGGCAGCGGTCCGATTACGCCCACTTATGATCTCATCCTTACTTTTTTTCCAAGGTTTCATTACGACATCTCAATTCTTACTCATGTTACAGATTGCACAGATTATATATATTTATTTATATAACCCTATATCTAACACTATAATTAGTTGATACAAACAACCATTAGGTGAACAAAACTATTATACTCTTTATTTAAATAAACGGTATAACACCGTTCGTGCAGAATAAATCTCAGCATGTTATAAGACTTCATATCAATTGCCTGCCTAATGCTTACCTATGTACATATGTACAATTTATTCCCTTTCTTTATCCAGTGCGGGTATAACGATCTTTACAAACGTAATCATTTAATAAAGCACTTAACTTGTAAAGAAAGCAAGTCACCCTTGCTTGAATGGTAAAATGTGATGTTATAAAATTTTATAGTCACGAACAATTAGTAACAAGTTGGCAACGCATTGTCATCAGTGCGAATATTTTAAGCGAGGCAACTGAATTACTGAGTTGAACTGAGAATTGTTTGCAATAAATATATACACCATATATGAAAATTATCAGAATGACCAAAGAAAAACAGCTTGATTTTTATACTTGGCCATCTTATACGGTTACCGGACTCTGCTTGTATGCACTATAAGCTATTTTAGATGTTGTACGCTGCTCAAATGATACTTTAAAATTGGTTTGGTTTTTTGTTAATTGGTTGAAAAGGGAGGCATAGAAGCGCATGTGTTCAACTTCAGTGGGTTTATTGCGCTCCAATTTTGAAAACCAAGTAAGCCCTGTACAGCAACTCAGTGGATTTATTAAATTATTTTTTGCTGTGTTGCTGGGGCTCCAAGACCAGAGGTGTTCCTCTTAAGTCCATTGTTTTAAGCAACTCTTGAAGAAGCTGAATGATCCAGAGCAGCTTATGGGAACAGCAGTCCCAGCTGACTACGAAAGAGCTAACTCAACTGTCATTTTACTGTAGAATATATTGCCCAAAAAATTACCTACAAAAATTTTAATTTTACCCAAAATTTTGGTCCTTTTTGGTCTGAAAAAACTCGATTTGTGATCAGATCAAAAAACTGGTAAGTCTTTTTATGGAGAACCATAGAAAAAAATTGATAGTGATCGGAAGATTTGTCTACAAGTAAAATACGTACTGCAGCACACTCGACTTTAGAAGGCTAAACTATTTGGAATATCGATTTACAATCTTAGTATGTTATTTCGAAAAGTATTACCTATCGATATATGAAATCAATTTTTTTATACATATCGCACAAGATCCCTTAACACGCTCTGACATATCTAAGAATAATTATATTACAGTTGCTATTATTTTATCATTCATACGAGATTAGCCAACTTTCGAAAATAACTAATATCTTTTATTTCACGAAAACAAATCAAAGAATTATTTATACACACTTAAATTGTCATTTATTCATTACAGATCACCGTTAATTTTCGAACCGGATGCGGCGCCCACTACAGCCACTTCAGCTACTGAAGTTGAAACCGATGATGCGTTGCACACACGCCGCCTCACAATTAGAGATAAATGTGGTGAGGGTGTGTCTAATCACGCAACCGGCGCAGAGAGTGGGCAATCGAATCAATCAAGTGACGTTGAGGAGTTACAACAACAGCAACACTACGATAAAGGCAAAATGTAATAAAAATTACTTTCCTCTGGCAATTTTCATACGTATATGTTTATAAATAGACGAATTACAATTGCTATTCTTATGCATTTCTTTTTAAATCTGCACCTGTTTACCGAACACCTTTCAACGCAGGATCAAAGCAATGACACGCGCTGCCGACCATCTCAAGTCCCAAGACTTTCAAGTTTGCATTACAGTGATTGAAGCACGTCAGCTGCCTGGCCTCAACATGGATCCAGTTGTAGGCATTCAAGTGGGTGATCAAAAAAAGTACACCAGCGTCAAGGAGAGCACCAATTGCCCTTACTATAATGAGGTATATACAAATATATTATATGTACATATATATTGAAGAAATTCGCTTTGGTTCATTCTATTTATTGTACGAACTCCTGATATTACTCTGGTCAATTTCTCACACTCCACATTTTATTCTTCTTGCAGTATTTCGTTTTTGACTTTCACATGCCTCCGGTGATGCTCTTTGATAAGATTATAACTTTGTCGGTGAGTAGAATATGTTGTAATTAGACCGCCAGCGTTTCATTCGCGCGTTAAAGCCTCACACATACAAATACAAACAAATTAATAAATTAGATTAATTGACAGCGTAAATCAATTAAACCTGGCTATTTACATTAGATAAATGCGATAATAGGCCTCATTACCGTAATGTAAGCGCTAGCCTTTGGCGTATGTGTAACAAAATGTCCAACGACTTGTTGCGGGAGCTGCGTTATTCCTCACATTATTATAGACAAAAATATGTCTACAAATTCACATATAAGTTCATTACGGTATAGTACCTAAATATTAAAATCAAAGAAGTAGAAAATGTTCAATATTTCGATTAAAAATAATTAATTTTTTTTTAATCGGTAGATTTGCGATATTGGAATATATAATAATTGCGCATAACATGCAGGCTGTAAAGTTCGTATCGCCTTAAAAATAATACATTTTTTAGAGGAATTTGATTTTGTTATTTAATATACGATGTGTGTTCAGAGGAAAAGGTGAATTTTGATTTTCTGTGGGCTGTGTACATTCGATTATCGATATATTATAATCGGACACATATGTTTATCATGTGCTTGCATTAGAAGCCAATATCTATTAGTAGTTTGTTGTTGACAACAGAAAAGATTAGTCACGTTTTTGTGTGCTCTTTGATTTTTGAAATAAATGGATCAAAAAATATGTATTAAATTTTGCGCTAAAAATGGAATAAATTGAGTCCATTTTGTCTCAAAAAAGTGGTTATAAGTGGCACAAGTACTTTACAGAAGGCCGAGAAGATATTGATGACGATGAGCATCCTGGAGGTGTTGTGGTAAAACAAATCATGCATTCTGCATCACGATAATGCATCAGATCAGACGTCAATGCTTATTCGTGATTTTTTGACCAAAAACAAAACATTAATCACTTTTTCCTATTCCCAAAACTGAAGAAATCAATGAAAAGAAAGCGTTTTGCCACAATTGATAAGAATAAGTGAGAATCGAAGAAAGAGCTGATGGCCATACCGAAAAACGCATTTCAGCAGTGCTTCGAGGATTGGAGAAAGCGTTGGCACAAGTGTATTATATTCGAGGAGGATTACTTTAAAGAAGAGAAAATAGATATTGATAAATAAATAAGTAATTTTCAAAAATATTCAAAATTCATCTTTTTCTCTAAACATACCTGGTAAATACATTACCGTTAGATACCAATTTTGTTGTATTTTATACCCTGAACAGGGTATATTAAGTTTGCTACGATGTTTTAAACATTCAAAAGGAAACTTTGGAGACCCTATAAAGAATATATATATATGATCAGCGTGACGAGCTGAGCACGCGAAATAATCCCAGGTTTGAGATACGTACGTCTGAAGTTTTACATACGTACATTTCTCACCGAAAAGCTGTTCATTTCTCGGAACAACTAACGCATATAGCTGTCATACAAACTGAATGATCAAAACCAAGTCCTTGTATGGAAAACTGTTTTATTTGTCAAGGTATCTTCACGAAATTTGGCATGACAACGCATTGCCATAATTATCGAATGCATTATTCATATCGGACCACTATAGCTTATAGCTGCCATTCAAACTGACTGATCAAAATCAGAATAAATATCTTTTTATACCATTTATGCTATACAAAATGCACTTGTGAAGGGTATTATAGCTTTCGGTGCAGCCGAAGTTACCGTTTTTTCTTGTTTTCATTGATTTATGTCGCAGTAAATAAAAAAAGTCATCAACTATATGACCAATAAATTCTATTGATATCTCTTAAAAGTCAGCCAACTTGATCAACCTCATTTTACGGTTATACCGGTTTGAATTTCCACTGAGCTCATCACCTTCAGAATTAATACAATATAACCTATACTTACGAACGAATGTTTCGTCTGGCACAGAACAATGGACAACACCCAAAAATAGTGTTTGATTAACATACGAAATTTATCCAGTTTTTTCGAAATATTATGGAAACTCTTTGCACCGAAACTATATTTAATGTAAAACTCGATGTTATATTGAAAATACCAAAGTTAATTTGGTATTATTATTGTTCTTAAATTTAAACACTACTTGTAAAAAAAGCTGTTGGTGAGTACTTACAAAATGAAAAGTTCTAGCACTCAATATAAATCAAAATTGTAGAACTAAAAATACACAGTTTAAAAAAACAAGGACAATAGTATTTCCCACCAAATACTAAAAATTTTATGCGAGTAAGTTACTTTAGTATTTAATTAATATTCGTTGTGCCTCATATATGTATCAGTATACATACATATACGTATATAAAATGTTTAAAAGGTCGGACACCACTCGCTTTTATAATTTTTGTTTATCCTGAACAGTGTAAATACATCCAAAAGGAAAAAATATATAAATTACCCCATAAAATATATAATATATATATATAAAAATGATCTGCGTATCGAGTTGAGCCGATTAAACCATGTCCATCTGTCTGTCCGTCTGCATACACGCAAACTTGTCCCTCATTTTTGGAGATATCGATCTGAAATTTTACGCATGTTCTTTTCTCCCCAATTCTACTCATTTGTTGGAACCGGCGATATCGGACCACAATAGCATGTAGCTGTCATACAAACTGACCGATTGAAATCAAGTTCTTATATGGAAACATTTTTATTTGTGAAGGACATTATAGCTTCTGTGCAACCTAAGCTCACGTTTTTTGCGTTTAAAACTTCAGGCATAATGTATAGCAATATATCTGTATAATTAGAAACTTTCATTTTGCTGCGATAATCTGAAAAGTTCTTTGTTCGCAAATAGAATTACAAATAAACAAGAATGCTGCAGCCTAGTGTATTGTTAAAGTTGAAATACATACAGTCTCCTAGGACAAAAAATAAAATTATGGTTTAATGGGGAGTAGGGTTACTTCGGCTAATTTTTATGATTTTTTCTTTTTTGATAAAATAATTAAAATTTATTTTAAAAAACCTTTGCTTCCTTATAGTATGACATTTGAAAAATATTCTATTAAACTTTCATGGAGAAATATTAAAAAATACAGCAATGGCAGCCATTACTCTAGAGTAGTACTCTGCCACAACAGCCGGTTCTGCGGTACCGGAATTGACCCGGATTTTATCCGGCCAAGGGCTGTTATTTCGGCGATCAAACCCTGTTTGGATCGGTGAGTTTTAGATTAAGTTTGTCGTCATTGGAGCAACGCCTAGCAGCAGGGTTGCTCCGTATCCTCCTGACCCGTGCTGGCATCGAGTCCAACCCGGGCCCCGAGGAATTTTATTGCTGTGTTTGCGCTAAAAGGCTCCATCCAAACTCCACCTCGGTTAGGTGCAATACTGCCATGCTGTCAACGCAGTAATGCGACATCTGCCTCAACGGCTGTGCAACCTGCACCATGTTCGCGCACTGCGCTGCCACTCCAGTCGAATGGCCAGGATAGGACCTCCACGGCACTAAGGAGCTCACACAGACAGCATGACTCCCAGTCTGACCAACCTCCCCCCCTCCAACCTTCATCCAGCTGCAATCCTCGTGCGAGAACCACCCAGCAACCCCTGGTTCCTCGCACAGTCTGTTCCGTGTGTCAGACCACAATACGCCGGAATGTCACATCAGTCAAGTGCAATTCTTGCACTGGCTGGTATCACTTTCTGTCGTGTTCTGGTCTGCGCACCACACGAGAGTGGAGTGCGTCGTACGTTGCCCCATGCTGTAGGAGTCTGCCCCCGCAATCACATACAGTGTCGTCGCCAATCAACACCACAGTGCGACAACCGCCCATGCGGATAGTACAGCTGCAACAACCACCACTTACACGCACCCCACTCACCCCTAGGATCACGACTGGACACCCGCGACAAACGCGACTCTTACAATTCAACTGCAACGGACTCCAGAGTAAAATCGAGGAGATAGTTGCATTCATGAGCCGGGAGCGCGTAACGATAGCTGCGGTCCAAGAAACCTAGCTAAACAGCCGCTCAGATCTTCTGAGTTGTGCAGGTTTCAACGTTTTACTTAAGGATCGCGAGCGAGATAATGGTGTAGGCCTAGCCTTCATATTGCACAACACCGTGCAGTATCGTCTTATCGATGTTGACATCGACCGTAGGGACACTACCCTAGAATGTCAGGGTATAGCTGTCCGGTCAGGCGATGTCGAGCTCGAAATATTTAACATATACATCCCCCCAGTTACATGTTGCCCAACAGGATATCACCCGAACATAGATGCGCTACTTCGTGGTGAAAACCGTTTGGTGCTAGGCGACTTTAACGCGCATCACGATCTTTGGCATTCCTGCCTGTCAAACGATCGTAGTGGGATGGAGCTGGCGGAACAGATAGACGATTCGACATTCTGCACAATGAATGAGGAAGCCCACACCAGAATTATGGGCACCTGTAATAGCTCGCCAGATATTACCATCGCTAGCGGTGGTCTACGGACGTCATCGTTAGCGAGCGTCAATTCCACAAGGTGATCGCTGCTGCTACTGCTCGCTTCATACCGGCTGGAAGAATCGCGGAACTCCGCCCTAATTTCCCAGCCGAAGCAGCTGTATTAGCAAACGAGCGCGACACCTTACCCCATGCCGATCCCTGTGATCCCCAAATAAGGGATCTCAATTTGGAGATTCGGCAAATAGTAAATCATCATAAGCGGACAAAATGGATAGAGCACCTGAAGTACTTCAACCTCTCCCCCGGTGTGAGTAAGCTTTGGACTACTGTCAAGGCCCTGTCAATTCCGAGAAGACATGACGATCGGGTTGAAATTCAATTCGATGGTCATGCCTCCTCGGACCCGAAGAAGTGCGCAAGCTATTTCAGCCGACAATTTACACTGCACCCTTCGACTGACCAGGCCAAACGACATGTTACCCGACGGCTGCGCAAAATGCTAAAAGACTGCGCACCACTTACTTTCACTGATGGGGAGATTCAGAGTGTCATCAAAAACGCGAAATCGTCTAAATTCATTGGCCTTAACGGAATAAGCATGCTGATGCTAAAACACCTAGGCCCAACGGGAGTAAATTATCTCACTAAGGTCCTCAACCTGTCGATATCCACTCTTCAAATACCCGATGTGTGGAAAGTCGGAAGAGTGGTCCCACTACTGAAACCTGGGAAACCCGCCAACAAAGGGGAGTCTTATCGCCCGATAACTCTCCTTTCCCCAGTAGGGAAGACTCTTGAGGCCTTCTTACTCCCGTCGTTCACTCACCACCTGAGCCTAGCAGATCATCAGCATGGCTTCCGTAAAGTGCACAGTACCACCACCGCACCTAGCGTCATAAACGCCCAGATAGTTCATGGCCTGAGCCAGAAGCCACCCTGCGAGAGGACGATCCTCGTAGCGTTGGACTTGTCAAAAGCTTTTGACACAGTCAATCACACAACGCTACTTGAGGACCTAGAACAATCAACGCTCCCTCCAGGGCTGAAGCGATGGACTATGAACTACCTGAGCGGTTGGCATTCATCCGTACTGTTTCGAGGTCAAAACTCCAAACTTAGGAAAATTAAACAGGGGGTTCAGCAGGGCGGTGTCCTCTCCCCACTACGCTGATGACTGTACGATATTGACGTCGGGAAATGGAATCGATGGCATGTGTTCAAAAGTAAACAGCTACCTCTCCGATCTTTCTCGCTTCTTCTCTGCAAGGAGCCTAACACTCTCTCCCACTAAATCCACAGCGACCATCTTCACAAATTGGACAAAGGAGCACAGACTGGACCTGAATATTTCAGTCGCTGCACAAAAATTCCGACAATAAATAATCCTAAAATTTTAGGCGTCACTTTGGACAGTCTGTGCTCTTTCACTCCTCACACGATCGCGATAACTGCCAAAGTACAGAGCCGCAACAAAATCCTCAAGTCGCTTACCGGCAGCTCTTGGGGAAAAGACAAAGAAACGTTGTTGGCAACATACAAGGCAATCGGCCGCCCGGTCCTAAATTACGCAGCCCCAATATGGTCGCCTGGATGCAGTGACACGCAGAAGAAGAAGCCTGTCAGAACACTGCACTCCGAACTATCACGGGATGCCTCTTGATGTCTCCAATCGAACACCTACATTGTGAGGCCCGTATGCTTCCGGTTAAGGAACACAACGAACTCCTCTCCAAGCAGTTTCTACTGGGGTGTTTTCGTAGAAACCACCCCTGTAGTCGCCTGACTGTAGCGGAGCCGCCTCCTAGGAACATCAAGAGGTCTTTCCTTGACTACGTCGACGACATTAGACAGTACGCCGACCGGACTTCGGACGCAACGAACTTCAGACAGGCACTGACCGCCATTCACAGTGGAGCCATCAACACCTTCACAGACTCCCTCTCAGTGAATGGCGTAATAGGAGTCAAACCACCACCCATAGCAGACATAGAGCCCTCGCGCAACTTCGTTCCGGATACTGTAGCAGGTTAAACTCCTACTTATCCAAAATAGACCCCGACATACTAAACACATGTCCTGCGTGCAATGAGTATCCGCATGACACTAACCACCACTTTGCATGCCCAACAAACCCCACCCATCTAACACCCTTCTCCCTATGGTCCGACTCCGTCGAAACAGCTCGTTTCCTGGGCCTCCCGTTAGATGACCTCGACGACAACGAATCTGGAATTTATCACCCAAACGGAGACTAGGTAACCGTTACAACAACAACAACAACATTACTCTGGAGCGTGCATACGCACTATGTGCAGATTGAACTTAAAATATTGAGATCCGAGCATACCAAATTAATCATCTTGGCAGGCTCGATTCCACAGTGTCTACTTACGTAATATTTATAGTATTTAAACCACTCAAGAAATATACAAAATTTCAATTTTACGTCAATGAAAAATTGACACGTCAGGTTTCAGTTCAGTTCAGCTAGAAGATTTCTTTAAGTCTTCAGCAATAATCATCCCTTTCCCATTTCCCTTGATAGCGCTCACTCACAGCATCCAAATTGGCGGAAAGAAATAAGAGTCCAGCATATGTATTTTAAGGACATATTGCACCCTAAAGCTTTATATGGCGAGTTTTCCTGATCATTTAATTTTTCTTAAAATTGCTCTTATCCTTTATCAGTTGCCATATTTGTGGACCTACAAATATTCCGTCTTTAATTTTTAACTCAAATACTTCATCGTGCTGACTTAGAACCAGTTCCGGAGTAGAAGCCTTATTTTCTGATCAATTTGGAGGCTTTGGCACAGGCAGTTTGGCATTATGTAGGATGGATTAAAAAAGACGCGTATATGAGGCCAGAAATGAATATATAGCAGTTAAAAAAAAACTGGACGTGATTGAAACAAAATTAATATACATATATTGTTAATGAGGGTACAGCAACACACAAATCATCACAAAGTTTGTTTGTAAAAAACAGTGTTTACCAGTACTAAATACATACTTAGCGGAATCTTTAGTATTTAAGTTTTAAACTGATTATGACCCCAATATAAATTCTAGGCAATGGTTTTTCTGTAGAGTGTCGTATCTCACCATATTTTCAGTGCTTGGTCATATTTGCCATAATTCATTAAAAAATCTTAAAATATAACTTCCTGGTTTGCATTATGCTATGCTTATTATTAGTTTAATTTCTATCAAATATTATATACTATTATATTTATGTATATAATATCCCACTCTGATTATAATTAAATATATATATAAACATGTGTATGAAGTACAAAATAGTTGATAATAACTTAATTTGATGAAAATTTATCTTCAGGTTATTCAATCACGGAAATTTTTACGATCGGGAACACTTGTTGGTTCTTTTAAGATTGACTTGTCTACAGTTTACGATGCACCGGGTATTTCAAATTTATTCTGATTAAATGGAATGCTACACATGTTTTCACAAAAACAAAAATCACCATGTCTTTGACGGTGTTTTAAAACATTTGAAATTTTTTAACAGTTTTTTTAATTTGATTTAAATGTTGATATATTCATACTCGTTGCAAGTTTTTGTATATTACCATAACTTTTATATTTCGATTTCCTTAAGAAATGTTGAACGTTAACTTGATTTTTCTCTTTTAAACAGTTATACTATAAAGTAATAACTTTAGCACTTTATAATTATATTTGTCACTTTATTAAGTTCACTTCTGATGCAGAAATATAAATAGTTTTATAATAAAGATAAGTTTCTCGACTGTTTGGACAATGGACAGGCGATGCGAATTGCTTTCAAATTTCATTTTCTAGAAATTTCCATGTAATCTTCAGAAACAGAGATCGAAAAAAAAAGAGAATTTTTATCCCCCACTTTAAATATCTCCCACAAATAACTCTTTTGAGTCCATTTCTCATTAGATATAAAAGCAATTTTATACAGTAGGTTATGAGGATATATCATTAAAGTTGCATAATTAACTTCTTTAAATAGCACAATAAACGAAAGAAAGAGAAAGTTTGACACTTTCATATATGGTAAATTGTAAACAAAGACTCCGCACCAGGCTGAAATACCGTAAATCTCACACTTTCAGCCATTAAGATAAGCGGTAAAAATAAAAAGCCCAATCAGATGGGTTCAATGCACTTTGTCGATACATGCGATCCAACTGCTGGTTGTCTTTAGCTGTACAGGCAACAAACTTATCCTGTTTATCAAAATAGTTGGTTGAATCTGATTGGTTGATTCAAGTGTTGGTATCTCATTACAGGTACATTCACCTTTCCTTACTTAACTTTCCATATTTTCCTATGATCGGCATTATCTACCGTATAATAAATGTTTTAAGATATTATGTTTATAGTTCAGGCTTATAGGTATATTACAGTAAGCACTATAATTTAAATATCACTAAATGTATTGTTATTTTTGTAACTAATTTGATCATATTTTGAACTATTCTTCTTTCTATTTGTTTCTTCTTTTAAATGTTTGCTCCCTTAACTGCGCTCTACATGTTATCCTTTATCACCACACATTTGCCTTGAAATATCCACATTACGAACAAAATTGTGCTACAAAATCAATTATAACAACAAATCTAAAAAACTAAAATTCCCAACGCTATCCCAATAACACACCACAAAGTAATACAACTATTCCGCAAAATACATTTAAACACACCTCACACATAACAACGGTGCGAACAAAAATGTTTGCAAACGAAATGAAAATTATTACACACCAAAATTCAACTTCTAATCACTGGACGAAACGAACGTGCCGAAAAATATTGGTTCCTGTTTGTAACTATAACAAACAACGTACTACATAACTAACATAAGTGTCGCTATTCCACAATCACAACATATTAACCACAATGAAATTAACATACAAAATAATCATTACCATGGTCATATTGAATACCTCCTGGACTGCTTTGAATGCATATAACCTCAATAACGAACTTAGGCACAAACCTAAATATACCCTTGTGGGGGTACGATTTTAGGTCCTTCAAAGCCGTAATGTTTTACTGCGAAATAAATTGATTGGCAATTTCAAATTGTATGTGGGCACAGTTTGGAATCATACAGGTAAACACAAATAACTGTGTAAGCGATGCATAAATATAGAACAAAGTTCATTCTAGAGATAAGATTGTTACTTTGTCATTACACATGATACCGATTTGCGTTATTTTAATATCAAATTGCACATAACGAAATTGGTAAATAAAATTATATACTACTATAGTTGGTTATTCGTATACCTTCCTCATATTCCTATTAATTGTTTACAGTATGTTTCGGAATCCTTTAACATCATAATTTTGACGTGAATATTATAATATTAAGTTTTACAAAACTGTAAACGATGTAAATGTATGATGGTTCAACGAAATGGTATTCCAAGACATATATACTAACTACAATAATTAGAACAACGCCACAGATTCATTTTGTAATGTCCAGCTCTTGGTTCTGATCTTGCAACAGACTTATAAATACAGGAAGTATTAACTTTATTATTAACACTCACATTTCTCGCAGATGCTGTCATTGTGGAGGTGGAAAAGTTTTGTATCATGTTCATTTAACATCTGTTAAATCCTTTGACAAGCCTCAACCGTATTTGATAACTGTCAATCGTCTTATATGATACCTGACGCTCAGACACTATCCAAAAACGTTTAGTAAAAAATTTCCCCTGTCAACCGACAAATTCTCACTGCATTCTCAAATGTCACTTGTCATGATTGTTCTTTTTACTGCCTATGGCACACGCTCTGTCGACGAAAAAGCATACAAGCTCACATATCATTATCAAAATTTCGACCACTTGCATGAAAGTGTTCATATTTTTTTATTTAAGTACGTCAATGTGTGGCGGAAAGCAAGCAGATCGTTTTGACGGTTATACACGCCTGCAGTCAAATCAAGTTTTCGCCTTTTCATTAGTCAACAATTCAACGAGTGAAACTTTAGGCGCATGTGAGAAAAAAGTTTTTACATAGCATATGTGCATAAAATAAAAGTTAATACGTTGATGAAGACAAAAGTGTTGAAGGGGTTGAAAGTATAAGTGCTATTAACTCCCTCTAGCAAATTTAACTAGTTGGAAACTACCATATAACTGGTACGAAATACAATCTCAACTGCTATACTTACTCTATACTATACTCTTAGTTGTTACCTTTCGATTAGTAATATACCAGTTACAAACTAATTTAAAGTAGATAAAGGAGAAATCTATTCATTATGGGCCAAACTAATAAATTGAATTTAAAATTTTAAAACGTTTACCTCGAATGATACACGTAATTTGCAAATTATTTAAAAATCTGGTGAAAATCTAGTATTTTTCTGATTAGTTAAATTTCAGTGGTATTTCATATGGTTATGATTAACTTTTAGATAAGACTATTTTATTTACAGTTTAAAGAAATGCATTTTTACATCACTTAAATATTTTCTACTTATAAATGTTTGCACGTTTTGTTACTGCTTTATTTTTCTTTCTACTTGTTAATTATTAAAATATGTAAATTCAATGTTTATAATAGATAAGTTTATGCGGACTAAATTCTTATTATACAATGTTTTCTACAGATCATCAATTCTACCACAAATGGGCATTACTTACCGACCCCGATGATTTTTATAGTGGTCCGAAAGGTTATCTGAAATGTGATATTGGTATTATTGGCAAAGGTGATACCGTAAAGGTGCCTCAAAAATCTGAAAAGGATCCTGACGACATCGAAGCGTGAGTATTATCTTCAATTAGATTAATAAAATTTAATATTGTTTTTAAACCCAAAACCCCCGTCAAATTCAAAACCATTCAAATTCATGTCCAATACAAACCATTTATGAAATCTGAACAATTTAACGATTTAAAAAATTATAAAACGGATGGAAATTTTTATTACGAGCTCGAATAAATATTTAAGAATCTGTCTGTTCTTTGTTGTTAAGAAACATATAATAATTTGAATTATCTTGCAACCAGTAATCTACTGCTCCCAGTTGGCGTACCTATTGAGCGTCAACGTGCTAAGTTTATTGTGAAAATATACCGTGCCGATGGTCTACCGCGCATGAATTCTTCGCTTATGGCCAATGTAAAGAAAGCTTTTACTGGCGAATCGAAAGATTTGGTGAGCCCTTATGTGCAGGTTTCCTTCGCTGGGCTAATGGTAAGCTTTTAAAAATGAAGCTAAGAGCCATGCTTAATTAGATTTGTTGTTATCAAAAGGGTAAAACGACAGTTAAGAAGAATGCTTATGCACCTGTTTGGAATGAACAATTAGTATTCACCGAAATGTTTCCCCCACTTTGTCAGCGTATTAAGGTGGGTTAGACCAATTATTCACGAAAACTTAATCTATGAATGTGTTATTACTTATAATTTATTCATATTATTTTAGATTCAACTGCGCGATGCCGATCCAATGAAACCGGCTATTATTGGTACACATTACATTGATCTTAAACAGATATCGAACGACGGTGATAGAGGCTTTCTTCCCACCTTTGGACCTTCGTTCATACATCTTTATGGTTCCACGCGTGATTATACGCTGCTCGATCAGCATTCGAACTTAAACACTGGTTTGGGGGAGGGTGTCAGCTATCGCGCACGTCTGCTACTCGCCATACGCACTGAAATAACGGACAACGTGGAAATGACAACGGAGAAGAACGTCGAACTGGAACCAGCATATCCGATTTCAGAGTCCTCTTACTCACGCAATGAAGAATTCTTTCTTTTTGGTTCTATTATAGAGGCTTCAATGCTAGATAAGAAAGTTAGCGACAAGACGGTTTTCTTCGAACTTAGTATGGGCAATGCAGGTAATTCTTTAGACGGGCATAATGAAAGCTTCTCTACGGCCACAGAGGATGGTGAGGATGGCTGTGTGCTGGAAACGGTCGATACGACATCTTTCAGCAGCGTCACAAACGCTTGCAAGCCTATCAGTCATGATAAGTTACATTATTATTTGCCTTATTGGGACTACAAGCCATGCATGGACGTGCGATGCACACTTCCAGATCTAAGACGGCGTATGTATAATAGTAATATGTTATCGAAGATGTCCGAGAAGTTGGTGAGTTTAATCATAAGGAACGAAGAGGTGATAAATGCATACAAGCATTTATTGAACTTTACAGGAGGAGGGTTTGATGAAGACGAAAAAACTGATAGAAGAGGAAGACGTGAAGGCGGAAGTTCGCTTACGCACCACACTTGAAGATCTAGCCTCAGCATGTACTTGTTATATAAGTATAACCAAGGCGAATGCCGTTGGACCGGGAAGTGGTAAAACAAAGCTGGACAAAGAACGCATTAAACTGTGTCAGAATGAAATTGTAAGCAAAAGTTATTTAAAAATAAATAGTTATAATCCATGACTTTTATATATGATTTAATGAATATAGGAAAATCTGGGCAACTTGGCACGCAATCTCCGCGCGCTGGTGACTCGAAGTTCGCTCAAAGAGCGTTTTAAGACTGCACAGACGTTCCAGCAAAAACTTAAATTTCTTATCGACGATGTAAGTTAAAATTTTTCCGTTCTACTTCTTACAGGTTAATGCTGCTATATTTATACTTTCTTACTTTTCAGCCGCAACACTCATTACCAGATATTTTCATTTGGCTCATCGCCAATGGAAAACGATATGCTTACCATCGCATGTCTGCTCGCGATTTAATTTACTCCAATATCGAAGAGGAAAGTGGTGTGCATTGCGCTAAAATACAGTCCATCTTCCTGAGATTACCTGGCAAACAGTCCATAGGTCCAGCCAGCTGGTTTATACAAGCCAAACTTTCTATTTACCTATGGTTAGGCGTTGTAAGTCATAAGGGACATTTCTTCGAAGGTCTACCTATTGGCTATGATCTGTCGCATGAGTTGCGTAATGCGGAAAGACCTGGCGCTATGGCACCGAATAATATACATTATCTCGAAAAATCTGTAAGTTAGAATCAAAACAAATTTAGGTTTTTAACCATTTTTCTCTCCTTCTGCAGACATTTCAACTACGCGCCCATATTTATCAGGCACGTTCTCTAATTGGTTCCGATGCGTCTGGACTCAGTGACCCCTATGCTACTGTATATATTACGGAATTTGCTAAGACAACACAAGTCATCGAGGAAACTTTGAGTCCTACTTGGGATGAATTACTGGTTTTTGATGAAATTCTTGTTTTCGGGAGAAAAGATGAAATTAAGAAAGATCCACCTACAATTATTATTGAGATTTACGATCAAGATAAAGTGGGCAAGTCGGAATTCATTGGACGTGCCATTGCAAAACCACGTGTAAAACTACGGGAGAATGCCTACACTACACCAACGCTAGAATGGTTTGACATTATCCGGGGTCATGAGAATGCTGGCGAATTATTAGCTGCTTTTGAAATGCTCGAAATCGGCTCCACTGATATGCCACGCTTAACAGAACCAAAACAACTACCGAGTAATCAACAGGAGAAACTGAAAGAGAAAAATGCGCCACCGCCACCAGGTACAATTTTACCGGTGCCGAAAGAAGTGCGTCCACATTTGGCGAAATTCAAACTAGAAGTGTTATTTTGGGGATTGCGTGATGTCAAGCGTGTACACTTGATGTCAGTTGACAAACCCCGTATTGATGTTGAGTGTTCGGGCAAAATTCTGAGTTCCAATATTATACAGAATGCAAAGAAAAATCCGAACTTCCCAAGTATGCTGAAATCTATTGAATTAGAACTACCACTGGAAGAAACGTATGCACCACCAATAACTATACGTTGCGTGGACTGTCGCTCGTTCGGTAGATACACTTTGGTAGGGACCCATCAAATTACATCGATGCACCGCTACATTTATAAACCACCAACAAAGGAAGACATCACTAAATATAAAACTATGGGAGGACATATTATACTTTCAGCACCGCTGAATGAAGAGGGCTTGAGTAATCTCGTTGACGGTTTCAATATGCAAGCGATGATTGCGGCAAATGCGCATCAGGCGAATATGAAAGACTTTTATGGAAATCGTCGTTCATCTTGCGATCAATTTACCCTCTACGGTGCCGCCTGTGTTACAAAATTGTATGTAAACTTTTAAATGTTTTTCCAAACAATCACTAATTATATTTCTCTTAGGGCCAAAAAGCAAGCATCGAAGAAAAGATCAGCGCAAATAAATAATGTAAATGAGATAATGATCGATCAGGATTATGACGACGAGCTTAGCCGCGATTGGTGGACTAAGTATTTTTGGTCCTACGAACGGCTTATCGATTTGACGAAAACGGAAAAATCGCACACTACCGAAAAATTTCTAGCCCCGCCACCCAACGCCACCACTACCAATGTACAAAAGTTTGGCATCAAAGGCGCTAAGCTGGTGCAGAAGCTGAGTCCAGCGCGTGCTAAGCATGACCCCAATAGCGAAAAGGTATCCCCCAACCAGCAGACTAATAGGAACAATATGAATACGACAGCTATGTGTCAGGTAATTAATAATACATGCAGTGCGAGAATATCAGACCTACTAAAACTTAACATTTAGATTTACCCTAATGAACTAGAGGCACAACTAGAATACAATTACTTCCGCGAATGGCTTCATTCCTTTCCACTTTACCGTGGAAAGAAGACGGGCGATTCCACCGAAGACGACAATCGCACTGTTGGATTCTTTAAAGGAGCTATAAAAGTGTACAAACTACCACCTCCAAAAGGCACTGAATTGCCTATACTGAATTTACCCACCAATGATCCACTACATGTACTTGTACGTATCTATATAATAAAGGGAACCGACTTACACCCAATGGACTTAAATGGAAAAGCAGATCCATACGTTGTGTTACAATTGGGTAATAAGAGAATATCGGACAAGGAGAACTACGTTAGCAAACAACTGAACCCGATATTTGGAAAGTGTTTTGAAGTAGAGGCAATCTTTCCGCAAGATTCAATGCTTACGGTGCAAATATTGGACTGGGATTTAGTAGGATCTGATGATCTGATTGGCGAAACGAGAATTGATTTAGAAAATCGGTATTATAGTAAGCATCGAGCAACTTGCGGGATAGCTCTAAGATATGAAGTGTATGTGAGAACGATTAGTTTGAAGCATTTATTAACTTTGTTTTTTTAACCCCTCAGATGCGGATACAACCAGTGGCGCGATCCTATGAAACCCACACAAGTACTTTCGAAGTTGTGCAAAGAAAACAAATTAGACACCCCACATTATTTTCAAGATCGAGTAGCGATCGGCAAATATTGCATGACCTTTTCTGATGAGGAGGTAATAGCATGGAATGGACCGACAACTTGTAGAAATCGTGATGAACATCTGGCTCTTGCGGTGCTGCACAGATGGAGTGAAATACCCAAAGTGGGTTGCAAGGTAAGCAGAGGATATAAAGAACCAAACTTTGCTTCGAAAGAAAATATAATAGTGTTTGCTTTATAAGAAGTCTGATTTGTTATTTTAATCTACCACTTTTCTGAACAGATTGTGCCCGAGCATATAGAGTCACGTCCTCTATACAATCCTGAAAAGCCCGGTATAGAGCAAGGTAAAATCGAAATGTGGGTCGATATGTTTCCCATGGATATGCCCTTACCAGGTCCACCAGTGGATATATCACCTCGCAAGCCGAAGGAGTACGAATTGCGCGTCGTGATATGGAACACCGATGATGTTGTGCTGGAAGATGATGCTTTCTTCACAGGAGAAAAAATGTCAGATATTTATGTAAAAGGGTACGTAACTAGTTGTTGATTTTGTAACCTCAAAGTAATTTTAGTCTGAACCTTGTTTATGGCACAGTTGGCTTACGGGACCGCAAGATATGCAGTCAACAGATATACATTATCGTTCACTTACTGGTGAGGGTAATTTCAACTGGCGTTTCATCTTTCCATTCGAGTATCTGGCGGCAGAAGAACGCATTGTGCTCTCTAGGCGCGAGTCACTATTCAGTTGGGACGAAACAGAGGTTAAAATACCAGCGCGACTCGAACTACAAGTATGGGATGCAGATCACTTTTCAGCTGATGATTTCCTTGGTACTTTACATGTACAATTATTGGTTTTTTCATTAACTTAATCATTTAAATAGGTGCGATTTCCTTTAATTTGAATCGTTTTCCACGAGGAGCAAAAACCTCCAAACTATGCACATTGGACATGCTCAAATCGGATACCACATTGCCCACCGTGAACATATTCAAGCAAAAACGTGTGCGTGGCTGGTGGCCGTTCTATGTGAAGAAACAGAATGAAGAAATGGAGCTAACTGGCAAGGTGGAAGCTGAGTTCCATTTACTTACAAAGGAAGAGGCCGAACAGAATCCAGCCGGTTATGGACGCAGCGAGCCGGACCCACTAGAGAAACCCAAGTAAACTTATTTTATTGTAACATGTAAAGCATAGCTCTAATTAATTTCCTTCTACCTTTGCAGCCGACCTGATGCTTCGTTCATGTGGTTCCTCAATCCGCTTAAGTCAATACGCTACATTGTCTGGCATAATTACAAATGGGCTATACTAAAGGCGCTGCTTATATTTGCTATTTTCTTCTTTTTCATTCTCTTCGTTTATTCAGTGCCTGGATATTCGGTCAAGCGGTTGCTGGGCGCCTAAAGGAAATCGTAGTACTAGTTTTGCACTACTAACTACTAACATCCTCATTTTCATCTTCTAAAGCATATTCGCCAGATTTAGGTTATGTTAAACCGTAAGTGTGTTTTATTGCCCTAAAATTGTCTAATCCATAACTTTAAAATTAAGAGGGCAAAGTGTCGCTTAGATGCAAAAATCAGAATCTATGCAGATAGAATTAAGATGTTTAGCAAGACTTATAGCAAATTCCTAATATTAGTTTCCCTTCCAAGGAAGGGAAGAAGAAAGTTTTTAACCAAAGAAAGAAATTTGTGGATAAATTTGTAAACAAACTCAGTTGGGTTGCCCTTGTTTTTACAAGTGAAGACAAATTTTTGTTCTCCAGAGTTCGTTTGGAAGAGAATTTTCCAAAAGACGTGAATCAGGGTAAGGACGAATATGACTAATTCTCTTATTGAACTCAATTTACACAACACAACAGCAATCCCCAAATACTTCTAACATATTTCGAAGGATTCTTCAGCCTATTTATTTTTACGATATAACCCAGAAATTTTCAAGAAGCACCCAGAGTGCAGTAGGCTATAATTTTCAATGTAGATATTTGTAAAAGTAAAACGTGGGAAGTATGAGGCAATTCTATAATACTTAAGTTTCATAAAAATCAAAACTTTTATAGGAAAATGTGTCTAATAAGAAGTGCTCATGCGGAAATGGTACGCTGTACCTGATTTTACTTGTAGTGTCAATCATATCAGTAAAAGTAGTTAGAATAAATTGCAGAATGACTTACGAATAACTGTTTCAGGGGTTTTGCTAAGTGTGATGAACAGAATATACAAAGAATTAGCAAATTTTGAGGGATATATATTCTATATTTTGAGAAGCGTTTGTACACAATGAAGTAACGGCATGTAGTGTTTGTGCGATAGTGAAACAAATTGTATGAGGTAGTAAAAATCTAAATCTCAAACCAAAATTTAGTGTGTTGTACTTACGAATTTTACAGAAAACTTGCAACAATGTACCCTAAAACAATCATATATACAAACACAAATACATTTCACTTACGTACTTGTGCTCTATACGTACAATATATTTCAATATTAATACTTAAACAATTTGAGATAATTTATACAGCAAAGTCCTGTTGTACAAATTAAAAATAAAAGTAACAGCGCATATAAAAATTAAGGACTTAAGGATGTGTTGTGTTTATTAAATTGCTCAACTGGGCTTATATATTTATAAAAAAATCTTTAAAATTGTTATTAAATTTACTACGTACGACTTACGATTTACCATTTAATAATACACTAGAAAATTTTGTATATTGTGCACTTGACATTATTTGCTCAACATCATCATTTATTAATAAATATTTATTAAAATATATATATATGTTATAATAATAAATTAATAAAAAGTCGTTCACATCCAAAATTGTCTTTCTTTTATTAATATATTAAATGTGATTGACAAACGTTGACATTTTTGACAATTTTATTTTTCCCGTCTTCAAAAATTTGTGTTCTAATACTATACCTACATATGTACATGGATGAAGTAGTTGTCATGGCATAAATTAACAAACTAACAAATGTATTCATAAATATGTACACTTGCTATATAATAAATATAATATTATATATGTACAAACTAATATAAATAATAATCACGTAATTATATTTGGTAATCATCTTAAGGGTTAACTTAAACTCAAAGCTAATTTAGTTTACAATATTAGATACATATAAGTAGAAAGCGAGGTTGCGATCACTTGGAAGGTACATACGTACATATCTACAATATATCTTAACTCAAAATTCTGGCACATTTATTTTATTCACATTGCATTAACTATATACTGAGCATTAAGAAAACCGTCTACAGTTAAATTGAAAAACACGAAGGTTAATAGCAAAAATATTATACATATACTCTTTGTGTATGTATAACTGTTTTAAAAAAATGTTTGGTAACAGATATAGATTTATATATAACGGTAGTGGGCTGTAACTCATAAATGTGTCGATTGTATGTTACGTCGCATGATTAAACGTCCCGTGTTCGGGAAAAAACTGCGTTTCGGTAAATTAACAACTCTAGGTATAATTCTTATTACATAATCCGGCAACAGGCAAGCAATAACTGTGATTATAGTGAACAGCCAAACGGGCAGCGAACACAGCAATTTGTTATATGCCCAATAGATATCGGTATCGTAGTCGCTGCAAAAAATCAGGGTTAAAGTCATCAATATTTTAAATAATTTTAATCAATATGGATTTCCCTACAGAAGGCCCAGTTTGAAAAGATGAATAACTTTTGCATTTTAATGCGTTTTTTGCTGGTTTGAAGAGAAACTTCTTTAGCTAGAGTAATAAAATCGAATAACGGCAGTGATATTCTGAGAGGAAACAAAGTACAACCGATTTAAAATTAATAAAAGTTAGAAGATTGCCACCTGTTTAATATGTAAAAGCATAGAACGAATCAAATTCCATATGTATTAGAATAATTCAAACAATAATAAAACTGTGTTCAATCAAATGAAGGCTTTTTCAGAAATCTTTGATATATGTAGAAGAAGCTATTTACGATAACCTAGAGAAGTTTCAGTTTTGTCAGGCGTATTTCTAATCACCATTTTTTTTTGGTAAGGCAATAGGGAATCGACAAACAAGTACACTTGGGATTGACCGAGTTACTTTCGTAGATCAAAAAAAATTTAACGTTTTTTCTAAAATTAAAAAATTAAGTAAGGGATTTCCATATACTTACAAATCAATTAAGTTATAGATAACAGTAGTTATTATGAACGCAAATATGGAGCCCACAATCGTCACTATATACCAATAACTCAGGTACTTGGACTCTAGCATCAGTTTTAAGTTGACCACAACAACAACGATTTCAATGAGCAAAGTGCCAAAGCAAGAAAACTCCGCCGGTTGGCCAATATTTAGTAGAATATTGTTTGTGGAAAACACATAGTAAGTGAAGTAGTAGGTGATCAAAGTGTGGTAAAAGGCAAAGAGTATCCAACCGATGAAGTACTCCCAGTGCAGTCCCTTGTTGTTTATATTTTTTTTATAAAGCTCTGGTTGCCTGTGAGGAAGAAATCATATTATCTAAATCTATAGCAAAACGTCAGCACATACTTCAAAAGCGTCTCCTCGCTGTATTCTTTCTCTGTAAGAGAAATAAATAAAATCGGCAACGCTGTATAGACCACGTTGTATAGAGTCAAAAACAGAGAGTCGTACACGGATTGTGTTGAGAACAGCGTATAAAATTGAAACAGGAATATTACGCCCATAAATATGATATTTTTATAGAAGAAATAAAGCACTAAGAGAGACAGGCGCGTCGTATGATAATGTCCATGTACAAGTATTAAACGTTTCAGCATAGAAAATTTGGCGAAAGAGAAATCAGCACATCGTGCCGCTTGTCGACCCTCTTTTCCCATGATGCCAAGACCCACATGTGCCTCCTGAATCATTGATACATCATTTGCACCATCGCCCACGGCAGCCGTGGTGTAATCCTCTGACGAGGTTCTAAGTAAAGCTACTACTTCACTCTTCTGCAATGGACTTAAGCGGCAACAAAGTACTGCCGTACATTTGACTGCTACATCGCGGAACATTTCTGGCGTCTCATTCAATGCGATGCCTAAACTTTTTCCATCGATTAGTAGCGCGCACTGTGCACCAATTCCGAATACAATTTCACGATCCAACGCATTCAAGTGCACCAGTATATCCTCTTTCGATCTACAATCGATTATAAAGTACTTGATAGCGTCAGCAGGTATGTGACCACAAGACAGAGCTATGTTAAGTGCCGTTTCGACCTTATCACCGGTTAGAACCCAAATTTTGATACCGGCTTTTTGCAGTGAGATTAGTGTATCAGCGACATCATCTTGTAAAGCATCTTCGACTGCGGTGGAACCCAGTAACTCTAGATCTGCAACGAATTTAGTCTGAAAGCTGTGTACTTATTCGCAAATAAGGATTCTACTTACTGCACTCGATTTTTGCATAGGTCTGTTCCAACAACTCCTTTCGATTTTCCAACGAACTGTTTGCCTCATTCACTTCGTCAATGAAGGTGCGATACTCGTCATCACCAACCCGTCGTCTCGCTACGGCCAATGTACGCAGACCTTGCCTTGCGAAATCGCTTATGTGCGCATCGGTTCGGGACACAATATTCGACTGATTGTTGGCACAAAGCGGGAACACATAACTTTCTGCACCTTTTGTGTAAATCCATTTGGTGCCATTCTCGTCTTTTACAATCACACTCATACGTTTACGATCAGAAGTGAATTCCAGTACGTGCAATCGATTGAAATGTATTTCGTTAACTTTACCAACGGTAAAAGGTCGTGAATAATCCATGTGTGGAGGAACGACACGTATTCGTAAAACCTCATCATCATCACCCATATAAACGAGCCCCAGATTGGCGGAAGCCTCAACGAGCGCCTTTTCGTCTGGACTGGAGGCTTGATAGTCGAGGGTGCTGCGAAAAAATTGTTATTAAGAAACATTTAAGATTCTTATGTAAGCAATAAAGTAATTGATAACAATAGACAAACTTACTGCACAACTTGTTCGATCTCATTCTTGCGACGCTGCGACTCCGCACGTAACAGAAGTGTTGTTTGACGTTGAAAGTTAGGTGCTGCATAAGACTCACGCGACAGATTACTTGCTGTTCGAATGACAATCCCGCTATGTTGCACTAGAAATGAGTCATATGCTTATTTTAATAAAGTAGCCAATATGTATCAAAGCACCAAACTAACCTTGTTGTGTTAAATATGTAGTTTGTGCACCGTAAGACTGCGACCGCTTGTGCCCTGTCGGAGAGGGAACAACTGTTAGATCTGGCAAATCGATGGCTGATGTGGAACGTGTGAAGGGTAATGAAGTGGGTCGTGAACCGGGTGTTGCTAACATATTTCCATTAGTGGCGCGGCTCACCATTTCTATAGAGTACACTCCGTCACTCCCCATTGGGGATGGACATGATATTACCGGATGTATTCTTGACGAGACGCGCGTAAAATTTGGGCTTCGTTTTACAATTAGCGGTCGTTTGCGTTTCTCTTCTTTATTTGCTTCGTTAAGAAGCGGATTGACGTCAGAAGTCATATTTGAACCATTTGTACCATTCGAACGATTTAAACCTGTGTGTTTAGACATGTTCATAATGCTATTGGAGATAATGCCCTCAGTTATTGTTCCATTAGGATTATTGGATAGGCTTGTTTCCACTGTTTGTGAATGGTCGGAATCTACACCACTTTGTCGACTGGAATTATGACTCTCCTCGGTGATATCGGAAATGGAATACATTTTGGCCAGTCCACTCTTGCCATTACTTTCTTTGTCAGGTGTTTCAATTTCATAGGCAGCATCAGCATTTGATTCCCCTGCTACTTGAACGGTATGACATATAGCCAGTGCTTCAAAGAAGTTCTTTTGGTCTTTCTAGAAAAAAATTACGAATAATAAATAATTAATTGATATTACAGTTACAAATATTCTTAATTGAGCTTAGGGTTCTAAATGAAATAATTTGCGGAAGGAATAAATTAGTTATTGAGATGAATATAACGAAAATATTTATATAGCTATCGAAGCCAAAATAAGTTCAATCATTTAATTGTTTCAAAGGAGTTTTAAAAATAAAAACAAGGTAACTGTTATCATCGAAGCTATAATACCCTTCACAAATAAACAAGTTTCAGTATAGAATTTTTCACAAATAGTGTCTTTAAGGGATGCCAGCTCAAGTTTAAAAAGTATTTATAGCTGATTTTGTAGCAAAAATATCGGTCAATCTGTGAGATCTATAATTAAAATGTTTTTCTGGTAATAATGTGCTTTAGTGTCAAAGATGGATAAAATAGGGTCAATAATTCCCCTAGCCCCCGTGTACCTAATATAAAGATTTTCGAATTTCCGGTTGACTTTATACCGTCTAAATCGGTCAATGTGTGAGATATTTTAATAAAACTCATATAACAGTTTTTTCTGGTAAAAATATGTCGTGATGCCAAAAATTGATAAAATCGAGTCAATATCACGACTAGCGTTTATAGACCTAATATAAGAAGTTCATTCTCCCGTTGGTTGTATACTGTATATATATTATGTAAAATATCTTGTCAAAATTAAGTGAACGTATAACATTGGAGATACTGTAGTTTAAAGCCGAATTACCCCAGCTCCCATATATGGTAGATACTATAGTGGTTATCGTTATTCTAGCGGACCTTATGCCCAATATGTCGTTCAGTGTGTGAAGTATCTTCATAAAACTGTGTGGGTATGTTCTCGAGTATACTTTAGTAATGGCAGAAATTAATACAATCAATCCAGACCTTCTTCTATACTCTTTATACTCGATATCAAGATTTCGAACTTTCTTGACCTATTTAATACCTTAAATCATTGTATTTAGCCTAATTATATAACATATCTTTCGTTGGGTTAATTAGGTTGGTTTTAATTTAATATAAATATCAGAGACCTGAAGTAAAATGTAAAACCGTGTTGAAAACAGTTCACTTGTCGATTTTATGAATATTGTATACATATTGACGAGATTACCTGATTCTACTCCCAATTGCAGACTTATTTAAAATAAAATTTAAATCAATTTGCAAACACCTCTGCCTCTTATCATCATCATATTTTCCAAACTTACATTGAACTTGTTTATATCTATCAATGCGCCGCTTCCATCTTCCAGCAACCGTGTCTTTTTAAATGTATATTTTCGTCCATTTATCGAGCACTGTTGGAAAACCATTTCGTTTTTCGTTAATGTGCCGGTCTTATCCGAAAACAAAATGTTGATCTGACCAAGTTCTTCATTTAAATTGGATGTGTTTACTATAAAATGTTCGTCGGTTGCTTCATCATACAAGTGGAGATCCCACTCCATGAACAACCCACTAATACCACGTTGCAACTCAATGGTTACGTACAACGATATCGGAATGAGGTAATTAAAAAGTATCAAGAAAGAAAGGTAATCTTGCAGAAATTGTTTAACACTGTAGCCGTCAGCGGCAGGACCCAAATATGCAAGCTGAGGTATCACAAAAATCTCTTCATAACTGCAAGACAAATAAGAGTAACAGCCTAAAATACATTTTGAAATTCAAACTTCGGACGAGTGACGTACCGTTTGAAGAAGTATAACATAGTAACGATCGCTATCATCAAAACCAGTACTACGACCAAGAAACGATTCACATATATCTCACTAGAGGCAGCTTTATTGCGCGTTAGCCGGCTGTTCAGCTGCAGTTTGGTAGTCATGCCCGTGTACACGGCACACCCAATCACGCATTCGGTATTCTTTACGCGTGAGCCACGCAACAGTACATTGTCAGTTGAGAGTGGCAGCACACGCCCCTCGCCACCGGCCAGTTCTATCTTACCATTGAAACTATACAGATCAGTCTTAGGACTCTCACACTCGATGACGCCCAATTTGTGCAACTGGTTTATATCGGCCAACGGCAAATCACGTGGCACCGTCAACGTCTTCAAATTGGATTCACCATCCAAGTTGGCGGTCGTTATGAAACATTTGCCGTGTGGATCGGTGCTACGCAATAACACCAAATCACAGGGAACATCACAATCGCGCTCCACCACTACCAAGTCGCCTGGGCACACATATTGCGATTGTATATGTATTTCCTCTCCGTTACGTATGATAGTCACTAGTTTCAATAGAATGCAATTGACGTTACAAAATGTGCTTTGAATCTTCAGTTATCAAAAATACGCACCTGGCGAACGATTCACAACATTATCGGTTCTGTATCGTAAGAAATCTTCATACCCCTGTTTAGCGGCAGTCACTGCGATCACAAAAACCAGCGGTAACAATGATGTCAACGGGGAGACCGGGCTGTCTAAAAAAATAACAAAAATGTGTGGAAATTAAATTAGTTTTCAAGATATTTATAATAATAAGTAATTTTAAATATGCAGAACTATTGCATACTTATTACTAATACTTTCAATATATAGTTTAATACATCTGAACTTATAATATAATATTTTGCCTTGATTACAAGTATTACCATTTATGGAATTTCATAACATTTCACAGGCTTATGTAATTTTTTTGCTCATTCTGAAAAATCTGGAAATTGATTGATTGTCCTTTTGCTCATTCTTAGTTAAACTTTGAGTTAGCACAACACTTAGCAATCTACTAGAAATAAATACTGATTATACCTTGAACAGGGCGTATTAAGTTTGCCACGAAGTTTGTAACACCCAGAAGGAAACGTTGGAGATCCTATAGAATATATACATAAATGATCAGCATGAAGAGCTATGTTGATTTAGCCATGTCCGTCTGTCCGTCTGTCTGTATATATACAAACTAGTCCCTCAGTTTTTATGCTATCGATCTGAAATTTTGCACCTGTCCTTTTCTCACTAAGTAGCTACTAATTTGTCGGAACGGCTGACAACGGACCCCTATTGCACAAAGCTGCCATGCAAACTAAACAATCCGAATCAAGTACTTGCATGGGAAACTTTTTTATTTGACGTAATATCTTCACGAAATTTGGCATGAGTTCTTTTCTAAGGCAACAATGCAATCTCTGAAGAAATTGTTCAGATCAGATCACACAGATATCATACAGCTGACCTACAAATTGAACGATCGGAATCATGTTCTGTGAAGGTTATTATAACTTCAATGCAACCGAAGTTAACGATTTTTCTTGTTTTGTTTTACGATTGAATAAATACGTGAATTGCACTACGGAATGATAAGGTTGGCTCATACTGAGTATTTAAGGCGGTTTTGACTGCCTCTATTGATTTACCTGTCACTTCTAGAGTAGTAAATACTTTTTTCCAGATAACACTAGTTTTCCTTTCATATTTTTCTTTGGCTGTAACAGTAGCAAATATACCACATATGTATACAGAAATTTTTCGCGGTTGCTATTTGCTAATATCACACAAAAATGTTAGTTTCACTTGCAATCGTTGTTAAACAAATTTGATGTGTATCGAATTGATAATTTTAAGCTATGTAATCTTGAGTGTCTGATAAAAGTTAATGCATAAATGTAAATGATAACAAATGTCAGAATCTTTTCGTGCTAAAGAAGCCAACCTAGACGATGAAAAGAAACAGATATACCTATGTATTACTTCAATAACCGGATGCGCTAAGTAACTTCGGATACAAAATTAAAGATAAAATCGTTATTTAACTCACGCGTTTCCGAATCGCTAAATCTTTACCGATTCTAATAAACCTTACGCAACGTTTTATTTTAGTTGAAAAATTAACAAAATCACACAAAAACTATGCCACTTTTTTATCACTCGCAACATTAATAATAGTCTTGTTCACCAACTGTTGTTTGAAACACCTTAACTAATCGCTATATATCAAAATTATCAGGATGACGAGACCAGTGGAATTCCTGTCCACGCAAGCGATAACTAGAGAAATATATGTGTGGTATATCGTTGCAAACCAAAAGGCCTAACGGGCATATGTAAGTCACAAAGTAACTTTCAAGCCGTCCGATACCGAATATCTGTACTTCAGTGCATAGGTCTGACTTTTTATGTCCCTTTGATAAAAAAAATGGCTGAAATCAGGTAAATACTTTCCCTAGTCGCCATATACATAACTAATATGATATTTTCAAATTTGTAGCATACTCAAATATATCGGTTAATCTGTGAGGCATCTTGAGAAAACTCAGTGTGCCAAATTTTCTGCTAATAACATGTAGTGATGCCAAAAGTGGCATCATATAATATTTATTGTTGTAGACTTTGTACCGAATATATCGGCCAATGTGTGAGTTATCTTTCTTAAATTGCGTGGAAACATTTTCGCTTGTATAGATGGGTATTGCCAAAAGTTAATGTAATCAGTCTAGACCTTTTCCTGGGTCCAATGTACCCAATATAGGAATTTTCGACTTTCCACCTTGCTTGAAACCATTTATGTTGGTCAATACTCGCATATGAGATAATTTAATGAAATTCTGGTCGGATAACATCTTTGAACACCTGGCATTCAAATATCGTGCTAATATCTTCTTACGACATATTCTACTCGTACTTAACAAATTGACAGGTATAAATAGATTTCCATGCCGTTAATTTAAGTTTAGTTCTAATGAAGTAAAGACTTCACATTACTTCCTGTGTTATATAATAGTAATGACGATGATTGTGTTCAAACAAACGACTAATTGGATTGGTTTGTTTTGCAGTGATATAAATACAATTATGTGTAAATATGTCACACACGTCTCCTAATAATTTTTGCCGCAAAACAAACATTTGCTAAAAATGTTGCGTAGAATTAAAGCTGCTATTGCAATTACGCTTTGATTCTTGCCAATCGACATTACTACAAGTACATACACTGTTAACTAACAATGCCTACAAAAAAGCAAAGTTAAAGATACGCTAGTTTTATATACAACTCAATGAATAAAATTTTAATTATTGAATCTGCTTTGGTTTCCTTAACGTTAAATTAGCTAAATAAGCAATGTAATTTCCATTGTTTTTTTTGTTGGATAATTTAAGTGTAAATTTATGTAGCATATGTAAGTGTACACAGTTGTTAATCGTTGTAATGGATGTATTATATGTTTCTTATATATTAATTTAACTTCTAAACATTAGGTAAGGGTGTAAAATATTCTCACAAAAATCTACAACCAAAGATGACTTACAACTTTACATGTGTCGTATAGACATTCTGGGGCCCGCGGCAAACAATTTTGGGGGCCCTGCTTCTCAAATATTTAAATGAAACTTCTACATTTTCATGAGATCAAATTTTTATTTCAACTTTTCAACATATTTTTCATTTTTATGAGATTAATTTTCTATTCTAACTTTTATAGCTTGAATTTACATTCGCTTGCTCGCTTTGAGCGCACTGAAATCCTTTATCATGTTTTCATAACTGATTTCACTCGCTTTTTCGTATTCAATGGAGATTGTCAGCAAAAGGTTCAACTTGTCCTCGCCCATTGTGGATCGTAACCTGTTCTTAAAAACAGCTAATTTGCTGAAAGCTCTTTTCCCAGACGCGAAAGACGATGGGAGTATAAGCAAAAACCTCAGTGAAATACATATTTGAGGCAAGATATTTTCGTATGCACACGTACGTATAAGATTGAGTTGTTCCACGGCATTCGTGAAGTTCCATTAATTTTTGCAACAAACGAATTTCTTCATTTCTTCACGGGCAACAGCGCTAGCGCATTTTCCATTATTTTTTCACGACCCCCTTGAATGCGCTGCCTGGGACAGATTTCCTAGGCTGCTTTCTTGGTTGGGCCACTGTGTATATATATATACATCTGTTGCAAGTTATCTATAGCACGCGCATATGCTAATATTCAACAGCATTTCGAGTGCCATGAGTACCAACAACAAAGCATTCGAAAACCATAATTCATAGCAATAAAAGTTTAATTGATTGCACATAAGAGTGTCACCGCATAAATTCAATCAGTGAACTGAAATTTTAATATGCAATAGAAACAAAGAATAAAACGAAATCAGGAAAGAACGCTAACATCGGTGGCACCCAATAACCTTCACAGGTTTAAGTTTTCTTAAAAGAATATGAGTTTGATCGGTTAGTTTGTATGGAAGCTTTATGCTATTGGGGTTCGTTCTGAAGAATTTCTTCGAGTATTGCGTTGTTGCTTTGGTGAATAATCCATGCTTGACAAATAAAAAGGTTTTCCTTGCAAGAACGTGATTTTTATCGGTCAGTTTGTATGGCAGCTATATTTCACTATTCTGACCGAAACCCAAAAACTGACGGACTCGTTCGCGTATATACAGATAGACGGGCATGAGGGATCGACCCAGCTCGTCATGCTGATCATTTATATATATGTTTTATAAGGGCTCTGACGTTTCCATTTGGATGTACAAACTTCGTCACAAACTTAATATACCCTGTTCAGGGTATAACAATGTATGTAGATACTTCTATAAATGCTGAGTGTGATCAAATATTATCACCGAGCGAGGACGCAAATAGAAAATTTTTTTAAATGCGTGTGTGTTCCTACAGCATATGCAGATATCCATATATGTACATACATATGTGTATAATACAGTGCAACGAAAGCGACGCTGTCCAGCATCAAGTTCCCGCGCACACAGCTTTTTGCCTACATCAATCAAAGAGCTGAAAACGCAGAATCAATGAGAAGAGAATGCAAAAACAAACAAACAAACAATGCATAGATACTTTAATTGTGCCACATTAATTTGAGCTGCAGCGTTGGGTGCGAATTGGCGCACGAAGGTGATGGTCAAGGTCCGCCAAACCCTGCGCCGCAAGGAGAGCGTATGAATATTCTGTCGTTTAACAAAAAAATGCTAATTGCAGCAATTTCAATCAACAAACATTCTACAAAATTACTCTAGATAGCCGCTTCAACAGAAATAAGTACACCAAGAAGTATGTACTATTTAAGTCATTTAAGCATTTATCAAAAGTAGAGACCGTAATATGTTTTTTAATTTTGAAAAGCCATGTCAAAATACTTGTACAATACATGTACATATAATATATGGTATATCTAAACATTTATGTATGAGATCTCTAGATTCTCTATTTTAATTGTGGTTTTTCTTTTAATGTTCAAATTTCTAATACTATTTCATACACAAATACGATGCACTTTCAACCTAAGTCAAAACAAAATAAACTTATAAATGTCATTTTATAGTTTGACTAAATGAAATAGATCTATGGCCAAATGGACTGTGCTATTAAATATCTTGAACTCTGTCAATCGTCCGAACTTTTCCAAGGAATTTTACTGGAAATTCAAATAGCTTATTAAGTGATAAAAACTACTATGGATTGTACATAGTCCAGGTGAATGTAGGCGGAGCGTCGGTGCAAATGCTAGTCTGAGTACAACAACATCAAAGTGGGCTCAGAAATGCAAAATGAAGCTTGAATGCGAAGTAATACGTAATACCTCTAACGTTAATTTTTAGACAGAGCACAATATTAAGAAAAGTGCTAACATATAACCCTCGTTGGCAGAATTTTTGGCAGAAATCCCAATATTAAATTTATCTGCAGTATTTTTAACACAATTTTTTAAACACTTCGAAATATTGACCGCGTCCATAGTTAGCCTTTTCAGATGTCAAGACATAAAGTGTTGTGATTATTGAGAGAAATTTATGAAATATTAAATAACAACATCCAATGAAATTTATTGCCTAAAATGTTGTAGCTTCAAAACTTGAGTTTATAGGTACAAGTGATCATTTCAAATTTGAGAAGCTGTGAAAGTTTAAACACTGCTCTTTCATATACAAATACTGCAAATAATTTTGAGCCCTTTTACAAGCAGCCACAAGCGGACTTAAAAAATATAAATTATAATCATATTTCTGATGTTCTACTAAAAAGAGGTAAAAAGAATAAGCCCGATTCCGACTCTTTATTGTAACGACAATATAAACAAGCAGACTTTTCCAATTCTTTATGTGAACTCAATTTTATAAGAAACTGTGCAAAATAAATAAATATTATGGGTGTAACAAATTATTATGATGAAAGGAACTTAAGCCGACCAAAGTGTTCGATCCTTTACAATTGTAATTTGCTTACAAAAATGAGCGCAATATCCATTAAAGTTCTCAATGTAATCGTCGCGTAGTTTAGTCAAAGATTTTGTGTTATTTTTGCAAATTCTTTTCATTCACGTAGCGTATGTTAAGACCACTTGTTAATTACTCGTTATCTGGCTTTTAGCACTCGCCAGTTCATACAAACACATATGTATGTATTTTCGCACCCTTCCGATATTTTATATGCAGTGTATTCAAGAATTTTTCAGTATATTCATCTAATTTTTAAGAAAAATAATTTTGGCATAAATAACTTATATTTAAGCTAAGTATGGCTTACCGATTAGGAGTGATATGACAGTCATAATTAGAAAGTAAAAATTCGCTATACGTCTAAATTGTTCTAGCAAATTTTGCGGCAGGAATGTAATTAGTGTATATTTTGTGGATTTAATGCGGTTTAATTGTTGTCGGCCCTTTTTCTTCTTCACCTCCTCATCGCCGCCAATTTTAATTTGTAGCCAATCATTAATTGTACTAACACGGGAACCCTAACGAAAAGAAAATAAAAGTAATTTAAATTAAATAATTAAATGAGAGTATATTCACTATCTAAATTAGGTTGTAAAAATTAGGGATAGAAATGTTTTACACAAAATACCGTTATTTTGAACTCATATTATAGAATACATATAACAGAATATTTCCTATTAGATTTTGAGTGTAGACCAAAAGTTATAGTGAAATAAGTTTAAGTTTAGATTTTGAGCTTTGATGTATTAAGATACTTATAGCCGAATTGTATAGAAACCTAATTTTTATTGTTTGGTTTAAGAATTAAGAATCCCCATTTTCGACCATCGGAACATCTAGATATTTTCGCCGGATTTTATCTATGTTCATAGCTAATGCGTATGGGTCTGCGTATATTGAAATATAGAATAAGAATTTAAAGCCCATTTTCTTCTGATTTAGTACAAAGGATCAGGTGTTCTCCCACATCAGATCACAATCCCATTTTCACATTAAATATTTATTATAATTATTATGTTTGCACTCTCCACCAAGCCTTATTGCTATTCATAGCACTTCGAATGATGTGCGTTTAATCAATTATCGCTTCCAATATGTTATGTTTTTAATTTTTCAGTTGCTTAGTAGATTTATCTCAATTTACTTGGTGTTTACTGTATAAAAAAAATAGTTTTCGGATCGGTCAGTGCTTCTAATGTAAACCCATTCAAGTTTTGTAAAAAATATTTGTATTTATCATTTACAGTTACAAGCATATGCGCAGGCATTGATACATGGTATTGTAATTGTGGAAGTAGAATTTCGAAATTACTCAAATGTTGTCAAAAAAATAAACTAATTATATATTTATAATACCGAAGTTATGTATAGGTTCATTGATTACTTAATTCATGTTCGATTTCGCAAATTTGTAGACAACTCAACTTAAACGGAACTTTGGTCGATAAAACCTTTAATTGCAACAATCAATTCAAAGCGAAATTGTGTATCTCACAAGTTATATAATAAGTATTTTGGATCATTTAGCTTAGATAACTATAGTAACAATAAAAATATGGAAATAAGACAAGCGCGTGCTATTTCAAGATCAATGACCAAGACCTAAACCTTAGCAACAAAATAACTTTGACGTAGTAGTTTGTACCCAACAACCCTTTAAGCTGTTTTATCAAAACAAAACCTTGCTAATGGAATTTCGGTTGGTTGTTATTTGAATTATTAAGGAAAAAAACCGACCAAGCAGAATTTTTGCTCATGCGAGACTAATCGAAATTCCATATCCAAATATTTGATATATGATTTTGCCACAAAGTTGGTAAGATCCAGAAGGAAACATCGAAGACACTATATATATATATTTGACATACATTATGTAATATTTATAAATGATCAGCAGACGAGTTCAGTAGATTTACCAATGGCCGTATCGATCTTTTTTTTTCTCTACACGTTCTTTTCGCCCCAATAAAATTTCCATTTGTCAAAATCGCCGATATCGGAATCCTATAGGATAAAGCCATCAAACAAACTGATTGCTCCAAATGTATGAAAAACTTTTTTATTTGGCATGATATCTTCACGAACTTTGGCAGAAGATATTGTTCAAGTTAACTATACAATCTTCGAACAATTTGTTCAGATCATACCATTATAGCACATGGCTGCCATTCAAACTGACCGATCATAATAAATATAAAGATATTCATAAAATATCTTGTTTGCTTATTAAGTAACCTTACTTCCGTTACAAATTTCACTAGCGAAAAGAGTTCTATTTTTCCTTCGTAATATCGTACTACAGCAACATTATCAAAATTCATGAATAATATAATTTGGAGGTAGGCCAAATTTTTACTTAGGTAGGCTAAATAATACCAAGTCGCGTTAGAAGAACCGGTCCCAAAGCTACCTATAATGGGATATTGACTTGTGTACTCCGACGTGTAATGGAAATATAATAAATTGATGCTCATTTGGATGATTTAGCCATGTTCGTCTGTCTGTCCGTCCGTATGTATATATGCGAACTAGTCCCTCAGTTTTTGAGCTATCGAATTTAAGCTGAAATTTTGCACCTGTCCTTTTCTCACTAAGAAGCTGCTCATTTGTCGGAACGGCCGATATCGGACCACAATAGCATATAGCTGCCATACAAACTGAACAATCGGAATAAACTGTTTGTATGAGAAACCTTTTTATTTGAAGTATCTTCACGAAATTAGCATGAGTTATTTCCTAAGGCAGCAATGTAATCTCCGAAGAAATTGTTCAGAGCATATTTCTATAGGACACAGCTGCCATACAAACTGAACGATCAGAATCAAGTTAAGGCAAAAGCAATCTCCAAAGAAATTGTATAGATCGGATGACTATATCATATAGCTGCCATATTAACTGAACAATCGGAATAACAAATATTTTATTGGTAATGGCTGATCCAAATGTAAGTGAAAAATCTTTGCACTTTGGTGAAGTCGCTCCAAAATCAAGAATTCTCTACCTTTCTTTTATGTAGAAACATTGAAAAGGATATTACCAAAGGTACATAACATAGAATAACCGAACATATGGTACAAATATAAGCATTCTATATAAAATATGAAATATGAAATAACTGCTGGTTTTAATTTCAACTTTGAAACAGGATCCGAATTAATTTACAAATAAAAGAGACTTGCAAATCTTAGGAAAATAATCAAATTATTTTCATTATATTATATAAAAGTATTTATACTTTTAACAAAAGTTCTAATAAAAAAATGTTGTATGGGGGTCAGTGTGTTGATCAAGCCCTGCGTAGTAGCTCCCACCTACAGTCACGATAAAAACTTATAACTAATGAGGGATATCTGCGGAAAAGTTAAGTGCCACTTATTTTACTTTTGGTGCTACATATTTTATTTAATAACATATTTCTCTTTCCAATATAAATTTTGCACACACCTTATGCCATTTCCAAGAGAGGCTATCTTTAACGAAGGTCTTCGATTCATCCGTATTGCTAAATAGTGGAAACCCATACGTTGCTGTATTAACGCGTCGATAGCCGCCGGCAAGATGATCATGCCGACCCACAAAATTCATTTTCAGCTGGAAACCCGCGCCAAAATCGCATAAACACGACAATAACGAACAAAACGGAACTCTACGAAATATTTATATTCCAACTGTAGCCGATATTATCATACATATTTTTTTATAAAACATATTAACGAAATCACAGTATCAAAAACAAAAAAACAATATAAAAAGCTGCACGCTTGAATAAGATTTTGATTTCCGCGAAAAATTTCACTTTATTTCGTTGGCGTGTTATGCGTAGCATTTGTTGGAATGTGCTTTTGTTCAGCGCTGCTTTTGAACTGTCATATGGAATTCCATTACAGATTCATTCAACTAGATATACGTCGAATACAAACTCATGTGGTTTTGCTGTACCGCGCATGCACCTGCGCCACAAGTATAATGAGCATGATGTCAAATCACAGTTAAACTCTGCTTAGCGTTAACTGTATAATCTGTTGCAAAAAAATCCGCTGCCGCACTTTAACGAGAGTATGCGAGATTAAAATATGTTAAATTTCATCACTTTTTATTGCTTTTGATTTTATATACCAATTGGAAGAATCTATTTATCTGCCTCACTTTAAATTTTTACTATTTTCAAAACATTTGCGGCACTTATTTACACCCATTTATCTGATCGTTAAATAGCCGTCTGGCCACCCGCGGTCCATTTTATGCGAACCTAGATAACGCATACGTATATTTGAATCAAATCAAATAAGTGGCGTGTTTATGTTTCATTTTGAGCCTTTAGCTTTCAATGGCATTAGTTAACATCTAACGCTAGAAGGAACTCTAAACAAAGGTTTCTAAAGCTTTTCAATTAACACATTATTGGCAAAAGTATACCGAGAGTATGGCAATTTTTTTTAACTCACCTCAAAGATATGGGTATAAATAGGTTCGCAAGTTTTTATTGGTTCACACGAGCTGTACTTCACCAGCTTGTCAGTCTGGAACAAATTTACCAACTGGGATTGGCAACCTTGTGAGACAAAGATTGCTGTAATTATTTGTATCGAAAGAAGAAAGAAAAACTGAAAAACATGTCAATAATATTGAATGATTTCCTTGGATCCTAACTTCTCGTTTGTAAAATCTCGGATAACGTTTTCTAAACACTCGAACTCCCGTTATCCTTTTCAGAAATATTTTTCTAGGACAGTCTACAGAGTTAACAAGGTTAAATGGACCACAATTATGTTCACTTGAAATTAATTTGTTAAGTTCAGTATTTTGAGTATGCTGTAAAGGGAGCACTGAATTCAGGACAGTTTTGGAACAAAACGATCTGTTCTGCATCCAACCAAAAGAATGCAAATAACTTTTATCTGACCTTACTTTGAAAACATGTTAAACCAATTGGTTTTTTTTCTTTTCATTTTTCAAACGTAAAAATCTTACTTACATTTCTTTGTTCTGTGCATGTTAACTCGAATGAGTTCATCCCTACGATAAGTAGATGAAAGTTTTTGAGGGTTTAAGGTAAAGTTTCGTGATATTACTATACCATACTCTCTTACAGTAAAGTACTCAGCCTATGAAGAAGTTAGGATCAAAATTTCGTCGAAAGTAAACTAAAAAATGATCTAATGATCAACAAACATTTCCCTATTTATTAAAAAACAATGTACTACTTCACTTGCTTCTCTGCCAAATGAAAAAGAAATCATTATATCCTGAACACGGTATATTAAGTTTGCCACGATGTTTGTAACACCCAAAAGGAAACGTCGAAGACCCTATAAAGTATATATATAAATGATCAGCTTGACGAGCCGAGTCGATTTAGCCATATCCGCCTGTTTGTATCTAAGTTTTCGAAATATCGTCCCGAAATTTTGCACACGTTCTTTTCCCACTAAGACGCTGCATTTGTCGGAACAGCAAAAATCAAATAACTATAGCATTTAACTGCCATACAAACAGAATGATCGAAATCAATTCCTTGTAATAAAGAGTAATAGCTCAGATCGGACCACTATAGCATATTGCTGGCATTTAAACTAATCAACTCTAGTCCTCGTGTGAAAACTTTTGTATTTGAAAAGCTATCGTCACGAAATTTAGTATAGATTATTGCCGATGGCATCGCAATAATCTACGAATGGATTATTCGTATCAGACCACTATAGCATAAAGCTGTCATTCAAACAAGCCGATCAAAGTCAAGAAAAAGATCTCTTTATAACATTTTAAGGTATAAAAATGCACCATTCTTCATATTTTATGTTTTAGAAAACATTCTGCAATGAACAAACAAATTATTAAATCTTTTCACAAAGCGAATATTTTAAAAACGAAATGCAAAAGCTAATTTCACTTATAAATTCGAATGCATTTTTCAGGCACTATGAATAATTTAAACATCACATTTAATAGTTTCTTTGTGTTTTTTCTTTTGATCACCATGGTATTTATTTTCAAATGGCACATCCACACAAACGGTTTCTTCTTATTGACTTTCAACCGACCGGTCCAGCTAATCAATTATACCGGCAATGCCTGCGATCGAAAACCAAATTTACATACATATTCGTGTTTGAAACGGTCGATGTAGCATGAACTGCATGAACTATATACTTATGTAGCTATGTAAGCGCGTAAATATGGACTTGAGTAACTATCCGCGAAATAGACGCTTAGACGCTTTCAGTCGCACAATTCCTCTAGTACTAAACAATTCAAGAGAATGCTGAACTTGAAATCTTCTAACCAAAACAGATTTTACGCTCATTTACCTTAGCTTTCTTCGATACAACTCACATTTCTTTCATTTGGATATGTGTGCGTTTGCATATTGCTGAGAGCAATGCTTTCTTGGCACAGTTAATTGCCCATTTTCTTAAATTCCACTGATTACTGTTATGGTGGGGCCAGCAGCGGTATAAATATATGTACATACAAACCGATATAAACGGGTCTTGCAACAAATCAAGACCAACCGGAAGATGTCTCGTTCTCTCTCAAAGATAGTCTCTCTGAAAATGCCAGCTATTCAACTTTGTTATCAAATTTTTGTTCAAGCTGATTTTTGTTTTTCATCGTAACTGTTATTTTAGGTTGATGATCTAAAAATAATCTCATAAGTCCATGCTCTCAATAGTATTAAGCGGTTTTAGTTATATGGGGGTATTTACTAGTGGTCAAATATGTACCCTTTATTATATAATATATGGGGGTATTTAATTCCCAATCCAATTATTTTTATAATGAAAGTAAGCGTTTTTATACATATTTACATATGTATACAAATGTACCTCAATGTCTCCTTTACTTTTTTTTTTTTTTTAATAAAATATTTCTTTTTGTCGATGTTTTTTAGTACATCCCGTTCAATCAACTATGACATCATATGAGTTTATGCAACAAGCTTTTAAATTAACTTTGTTTTCAGTTTAATTGTGGCACATATACCGGAGTGAGAGCATTACTTGAGAATAAGCTTTTAATTTCTTGCATGTCTATGTGAGTATTTTTGTATTCAAACGGTAAATTTATAAGCTTATACCCGCTCGGATCTTGCTTATTCTGAGTTCCAAAGAATACCTTTCGAAAGTACTAAAGTTGGTTGGTTTCTTACTGAATCAAAAAAAATGTACGTGAAAATAAATTGATAAAATTGAAAATGTATATATAATGTAATAAATAGTTAAATTCAATCCGCAAATAACATACAGCATAAAACATATTTTATTATAATTACCCCATATGAGAAATGTGATACTGTCAAGAATTTTCAAATCTTTAAAAAATTTATCCTAAAAAGAACAATAATAATCAGTTCAGCCAAATTGAAAGCATCGATTGAGCTATCCCTGACATAACCGATTGTTATTCGTATCTAACCGCCAAAGGTTCCTGTCAAATTGCTACATTTTATCATACAAGTTCATATATAGTTTCAACGTTCCAAATAATTTTGTAATTTCTATCTAGAGCCGTGAGTAGAAGTAGGTTGTATCCGTTGACCAGTGTCATCGTAACTCTGACATTCGCAGGTATGGGATTTTGGCGGTCGTTTTCAACAAGAATAAACGGGAAAGTTTTGAAAAAAAAGTAATAAAAATATGATAATTGCTGCGATCTTCCAAGAGTTACTACAATCGGCAGCAGTCTTACTTTATTGACGAAAAAAAAGGAAGAAAATCAGGAAGATTATTTTAAAGCATTTGAAGTTTTTTACAGAAATCATGGTTATGGTATGAATATATAAATATACATATATTTACATATCGCCCTCTATCACTCAATAACAAGTTAGTGTAGTTCCCTTCACCTTGATATACATATATACAAGTATATAATAAATATTTACCAAAGGTTGATCTTATACGGCGTATATCGGACACCTGTATCATATCGTAATAAAATGAAAAGGTCACGTCTTCGCGGCATAATACGAGTTGACACCAAAAAGAAGTAATATCTGTCTAAACCTGCTCCCAGTACTAATATGGTGAAGTTGCTAAATTCTGTAAATCGGCCTGATGTTTTAGATATTAGACAGGATATATTAATGAAACGAAATGGACATGTGGCATAAAGATAATTTTAGTCAGTATCAAAAACAAACACAATTCTTTAACAATTTCATAACAAAATATTTGCTAATATCTGGAAATATTTCATACCCTTTAATTCTTACAAATAGGATGAGTATCTGATGTGCGGTTATACTTAAAAGTATTCCTTCCTTACTTTGTTCTTATTTCATATTACCTCTATGCTCCTTAAATCAAAATATGTTAAAATGTAACGGTTTCACTGGCAAATACACTTATGTATGTATATATGTAAATACAAACAAATAAATATACTTTTGTTTACGTGTACCTTAAGGAAGTGCTAATATGCTTGGTATTATTGGTATATAATAAAATATATAACAAATGATTACAAATGGCACCAATAACAACTATAACCTAGCAAGAGAAACAAATGACAAACATATCGAATTTGGCACCCATTTGCAACCTTTGCTTACAGAGATAACTTATCAAATACCAGGAATCATAAATACAGATATCACCACTGACTTGCTGAATATTGTTTGTTCACTTGAATTACCAACATTTAGATGTGAACATTAGTCATACCAAACACAACATACTTTTTTTGTCTAAAAATAATTACGTAAATACTTTTAAATATGTTAGAGGGTTCAAAGAATTACCAAATAAGATATCGGTTTTTCATATAATATATCTAGAAAACTAAATAATTCAGAAAGACATTTTGAAAGGCTTTTCAGTGCCAAGTTCAGTTGAATAGTTTGTTATTATTAAGATTAAAAGTTCCACTACATATATCACAATAACCTGGATGATAACACCGGTTGAATTCCGGCTGACTCTTTCTCTGACCATTTTCGGCACCTCCATCCGTACAAGCGATAACTTCAGTTAAGATAGGGTTTTGAAATTTGATATACTTGTACTTTGGCACTCAGAAGGTAGCAAAAAATCGAACCATTGCCGCGCCCACAAATATTAGTTAAGCGAAAAGCTTTGAATTGCTATCACTAAGAAAACAATTTAGCTACAATCGATTCAATACTTCCCCAAGTCCCTAAAGCCTCTTCAACTTCCGGTTATCTTTATATCGTATATATCACTCAGTATGAAAGATAGACAGTCCATGATCTATGTTATGAGTTTATAAAAATCCCCAATATAATTGTAATCGATTCACAATTTCTTCGAGTAACGAGCATTGATTTCATTTGCAACATCTTTTAATATAAAAGTTGGAATATTTCGCACCATTCGATTCTCTTAAAGCGCGAAAATATAAAATGTTCGGCTGCATACGAACTAAGAACCTCTGGTTCTTTTTATTTCTTTTTATAATTCCATTCCAATTATTTTCTATGGTCTAAATCCAAATATGGTATATTCGTTAATATTCCCAAAAATATTCATCACATATATATGTAAATATATATTATTTAGTACGTTATTAAGCAAGAATTGTCAAACTTTAAAGGCAGTAAATTCTTCAAAATACTAATGGGTCCCTTGCATTTTAAAAATGAGAAAATACTCTTGATATGTGACTTCATTTCATTTTTTTACAAGCAGCCGGCATCGTTTATTTCTAAAAGAATGCGCGATATCTCTGTTGTCGTTATTATCTTTCAGCTAATTGAAACGTTATTAAGCATATTCACCTGCCAGATAGTGTATGTACATTTTATTTTATATATATAGTATTAAATATATTGAAACCAATTTTTTTAAATAATCATCATTTTACATACTCCAACATTACATCGGCAAACAAAGCTCTGTTTTGTTTAAAACTTAGATTTTCTTACTTGCTATAAATAATTTTCCTAACGTTAATAGTGCTTTTATTGTTTTTGCTAGTGCTACTTACTCTTCGACCAAATAATGTGTTTAGGACCTTTTCCATTATGAGATTTATCACGAGTATAGAAATAAACTTTTGACGACTTTCCTTTCCGTACAAAATAAAGCTGTTGATTTCTCTGATAAATCACAAAAAAACATCCGTTCGTTAAGAGTATGGCAATGTTCACGATTTCACCGACTAAACCACCAGCACAACCACTTGTAGACTACATATGTGTGTACCTATTTCAGTATTTTCAAATTCTAGTAAATCGACTCTTCTCGATTTCAATAAAATGTGGGAAAAGCGACGCGCCAAAAGCACTATCGCAAACCCATACAAATATTTCCTAATCTCTGATAAAACAAACTAAAAGAGCGGAGTTAACAAAAAATATACGACGTCTCATTTGTAAACAATCACTGCTAAATGTTTCTGCTGTTCTCATACGGAAATATTTCACCACTTTCATTTATTTATTTAATTTTGTTGGCCTTAATATTCAAGTGCAGATACACATGTCCTGAGAGTAAACGACACATCAACACTCCAAAATCAAAGTTTGCAGTAAATAAACAATGAACATGAGTAAACGAAATTCAAAATATTAAACTCTATCTACTTAATACTTGTGCAGAAACTGGATCGTAGTACGACGAAACCAGCTGACATTAAAGGTGTAACTGAATGCCATTCAGAAGAACTTCAACTCCGCAATATCGTGTGCTCTTCGGTACACCGATAAAGCTGCGTGCCTCGGTTCTCCCGCACTGAGCCAATCACTGAACTTAGTCACATATCTACTGATTGCAAATGAGCTTATCAGGAAGATAAGAATAGTTAGCGTTTCATAAAAAATTTATTTGCGCTTTTGTAGTAAAAAAGTTACATTTGTTTTTAGTCTAACACTGACTTTGTACTAGAGTATTATACTTAACGGGAGCTAACGAGAATTAATGAAAACTTATTGGTTGTGTATGTATATTTATATGTATATATCCTTGTACTAAAATTTAATCCACATAATTTGACACTGAACCATTTCCGAACCGATTTTAAATAGTCCGTAAAACACTCTTAACGAGAGAAGAATACAGATGCGATCATATGAATGTTTTTGTTTTGTTAGCGTAAGGATAGAACCATTTGCTGATTCTAAAATTTGGAAGCTCATTCAAGAAGCAAAACATAGTTTGAAGGTTAGTTTCACTACTCGTTGCTTTAACACGTTTGTGAAATAATTATTGTACAATATAAATTATAATAATATAATTTATTAGTTAATATAATTTATACTCCCATAACA